AAGCATTAGTGCCGTGCCCTTTCCTAAAAAGGAAAGGCCACTGTTTGAAAGGACCCAGATGTGACTTTTTTCATAAAAATGTTTTACCTGCAGTATGTGGACCGAAAATCCAACAAGGAAACCACCCTAAACCACAACATCATGATAAGTCCCGAATACCCTATCCCTTTTTACGGAAGAATGGATTCTGTCTAAAGGATGATAGATGCGATTTTTCCCATTATCCGGGTCCTGATAACATGCCTGCACCAATTTCCTTTAACCATTTTCCTTTTTTCCCCCATTCGAATTATTATTTTCCCCCCTTCCGTCATCCAATGCTTCATCCCTTGTTCCCGATGTCTCAGCACCCGTACCCACCACCTCTAATGTCTCAATGCTCGTACCCACCATCGTCAAGAGCCCCAAACCCATATCCAGACCCCCAAACCCATATCCAGAAACCAGAATCCAGAATTTGGATGCAGAGGTAGCAAAACAGATACCTGTCAGAACTACGGCATGTAAATTAAACTTGAAGCCCTGTCGTAATGTTGATGTTAACAAGCGAGATACTAAGAATACGAAACAATCTCGATATGTAAATTTTAATAATTTAATTTATGTCAATTGTACAAAGGAACAAAAGACTTATTTTATGCCTATCAACTTTTGTCTGCTGAATTCGAACACCAGATCAATAAATAGGAAAGAACTTTTTATTAATGACTATGTCTCTGAGAACGATATTGATATTCTGGCAATGACTGAGACATGGTTACGTGAGGATGATAACGAATTTTCTATTGCTGAAATCTGCCCAACAGGGTATCACTTTTACCACGTTACAAGGAAAAATGCCCGAGGTGGAGAAGTTGGTCTCTTACTGAAGAAATATATTAAAGCCAAAAAACAATCCCAGAGAAAATTCTCTTCTTTTGAATATATTGATGTCACCCTGAACTACCGTAACACTTGCACCAGAACGATTGTCATTTATAGACCACCGCCATCGAAGACTAACAAACTAAGCAGTTCAGTATTTTTTGAAGAATTCTGCATACTTGTAGAACAGTTGATCATATTACCTGGCAATATATTAATAGCAGGAGACTTTAATTTCCATGTAGATAACATTACAGATCCAGATACTACTAAACTCAACAGGATACTGGAATCGTTTAATTTACAACAGCACGTCAATGGGCCAACCCACACGAAAGGCCACACTTTAGATTTGATTATAACAAGGAATGAAGATGAATTAGTTACTGGTATCAGAATACATGATCCAGTAATATCAGATCATCTTGCCATACATTGTACATTAAAATTAGAGAAACCACCATTGGAGCAAGCTGAAATTTACTATCGAAAATTAAACAATGTAAACATGAATAGTTTCAATGAAGATCTAAAAGTGCTAGATTTAGATGATGATTATGATTATGATCTCCCAGTCCTTATTGATAAATATGAAAATACGCTGAAAGAAACATTACAGCAACATGCCCCACAAAAACGACGAATTATAACTCTCCGTCCTCTATCACCATGGTACAATGAAGAGATTGGTCAAGAAAAAAGAAATCGCAGGAAATTAGAGCGCCGCTGGCGCGCATCTGGATTATGTATTGACAGACAGTTATATGTTAAACAATGTGAGACAGTGAATGCCATGATAAAGAATGCTAAAACAACATACTATTCATCGGTTATTTCTAGCAATGCACATAATCAGAAAGTGTTATTTAGTACGGTTGATAAATTACTCCATCGAAAGTCAGAAAAGCGCTATCCAACTGCGTCATCAACCACAGAACTCGTGAATAAATTTGCAGATTTCTTCAGTAATAAGATTACTACTATACGGCAAGAACTAGTCATTGATTCTTCCCACTGTAATCAGCTAAATCAAGAGGAGCAATATGTACAATGCGCTAAATTCATTAACTTTCAAGAAGTCACGGAACATGAAATTAAAAATATTATTGATATAGTTGGAAAAAAATCTTGTGAACTTGATCCAGTTCCCGCAAAAATCTTTCAAAGATGTCAGAAGACTCTCTTACCTATAATTACTAAGATCAGTAATGAGTCACTTCAGTCAGGTTGTATGCCTGGAAAACTAAAAGAAGCCGTGTTGAAACCAAAACTAAAGAAAGATTCGTTGGAATACGAAGAATACACAAATTTTAGACCTATTTCAAATTTAAAACTCCTGTCTAAAGTAATTGAGAAGGCCGCCGCCGGTCAGCGTCTGGAACATTTGGCTAATAACAACCTAGAAGAACCTTTCCAGTCGGCATATAAACGTTTTCATAGCGTGGAAACAGCCCTATTAAAAGTGCAAAACGATATTCTTGTGGCTATTGATAATCATAAGTGTGTTGTGTTGTTACTACTAGATATGTCAGCAGCATTCGATACTGTTGATCACGAAATTTTATTACAAAGAATGTTCAAACGATTTGGGATAGATGGACAAGTATGGAAATGGTTTCTAACATGTTCTGGTAGTTCGTTGCACAGTTTCGGTGCCGCATATGAGAACGATCGTTCACCATAGTTAACCAATTTTACTGAGGGTATTGTGAGCAGTCCCTTGGATGAAGAGCGTAAATTTGCTGATGGTGTGTAAGGTTTTAGCATATTGTTAATGTAATGTGGAGCAGCACCATTCAGGGATTTATATGTAATAAGAACAATTTTATAGATGATGCCTTGACTATTGGGAAGCCAATGTAATTGTTTCATTAATGGAGTAACATGGTCGTATTTTCTGCTTCCTGTCACCAGACGAGCAGCACAGTTTTGCACATTCTGTAACCGATCCATAAGAAATTTAGGTAGTCCGTATAGCAAAGAGTTGCAATCATCCAGTTTCGATGTAATAAAGGCATGAACTAGGGTTTGGATATCTGATTTTGATAAGTACTCTTTTATTCTTGCTATTTTTCTCAAATGGAAAAAACTGTTCTTGCAAATGTTGGTAATATGTTTATCCATGGACATGTGTTGATCGAAGGTTACACCGATGTTTCGTGCTGAAGTACTTGGTTGAACTATTGACTTAGATATTTCTATATGGTGTACAGCAGGGCAAAAACGATTTCGTGCATTGATTACTAGTAACTCAGTCTTGTCCCCATTCAATTTTAATTTATTTTTGACCATCCACAAATCAATCTCCTTCACACACATTTCAATTTGTACCAGTGCTCCCGCTTTTTCTTCAGTGGTTGACTCAAAAGCGAGATATAATTGCGAGTCATCTGCGTAAAAGTGAAAGTCAAGACCATGACCTCTAATGATATCACCAAGGGGTGAAGTGTATAGTAAATATAATATAGGTCCGAGAACTGATCCTTGTGGGATTCCACAGCTCAAGTCTTTAGAGATAGATTTAACACCATCAATTACTACACTTTGCGTTCTATTTTGAAGATAGGACTGAAAGAGTGAGACCTTGCCTATTTTTAAAACTAGATTAAAGACACATCTTTTTAAACAGTGTTATGACTAAGTACTATTTTAACAAGAGTATTACCAATTTTATAGTATTTTATATAGTTTTGTTTTAATATTGTCAACATTTATAGTATAAAGTAATTTTATATTCATAATGAAAAGAACATATAATACTTTTAGTATAGTTAATGTATGTATTACCAACCTTAGTATTATGCATGTACTTATATATAGTATATATTTTTAACACTTAATGTTAAGCGCCATTGAGCTACAGGAAATGGCGCTATATAAATGAGTAATAATAATAATAATAATAATAATAGTATCGATCTTTCATGTTGTAACACAAACACATCGGCTGAATCTGCTAGAACGGCTTCTGCTATATTCGCTTGTTTTCGCCATGCTCTGGATGCAATTGAATAGTCTCGTTGTAATAGCTGACGTTGGTATTCTTCTCCCTTGAGGGTAGGTATTCTTTCTCGTTGACTTTCACGAATACCGGTCTCGAAAGCCGTTTTTTCTTCAGTAATGCCGTCTTCGTCGACTGTGGCCTTCTTAAATTCCTCGGCCATGTTCAGCTAAACCATATACTGTTGAATTTGATGTCTTTACCACGAACAAACGGCCATTCTCTTAAACACGGGAGAGTTTTTACTGTAAAGGATCGGACTTTGAGAGCGGCTGAGATTACTGGACCGTCCCGATAAACTCGACAAAACAAACTAACAACAACGCATAGACCTTTCGTGGTCTATGTTACAAACGCATAGACTCTTCGTGGTCTATAGTCTTCTTGTATGTTAAACGTATATTTATCCAGGACAGTACGTAAAAACTAAAATAAACAATAATTACAAGTCATAAATCTATCTACTTTGCTATATATTACAATTATAAATCACTACAGTATATTATTATATAAACGTACCTCTGTCGCCGCAGATCCCTTTTCATAAACTCTTAGTTAATAACTCTCGTTTATATCACCGTTCGATTTCGATGCGCTCTGACTATAAGCGCTCTAACTATAACTAAACAATTCCAAATTCTACCTACTAATCTTTTTGGGTTAATTATTTATTCATGCATATCTTATCATAAACTGTTTAGAATAATTAAACTAATTAGAAGTCAATTCTTAACAATCTAATACTCACAGCAAAGTTTAGAAAGACAATCAATTAGTATTTAAACCCACATATTTATTTCCCAAATATTATGGTAGTTACAACGCTTTAGCAAGAACATGGTTTTGCTTTTTAGGCAGGTGGTAACGCAGAGTTTGTAGGTTTGTAGACAAAAAGTTCTGCAAGTCTTCCTACTCCAGTCCAGTCTGGTGAGATCTCTTTACTCTGCAGATCGTCCAGATTAACACGAACTTGTAATTTACCATCTTTTACCTGGAACAAAGGAGTATTGTTGACTGCATCAGGGTCGACAAATGGTATCAGATTCAGCACATCATTTACGTCTATCTCACGATCAGGATTTTGGTATGCTTGGATCACTTGATAAGCAGATGTATTTGCTGCCTTGACGACTCGTTGAAAATTATCTTTATCTCCAGTCTTAATAAGATAATCATCTCCATAAGCGATCCACTTTTCATTTTTCTTATTTTTAACACGCAGGCCAAATCTGCAGTCTTCGTCATGCATATACTTGCTCAGTAGATCGCCAATAAAGAATCCGGTAACGTTGAAATGAAGTTCTACTCTCGGATTCCTGTTATTAACGGGAAGAACAACACATTGAACAAAGTTTTCCTACATTTAAAAATTATGGAATGAAGTTGTGCATAATGTGAATTAAAGTTGTGCATGATGTAATTAAAGCCTAAACACAAACTGAGGGCTCGATAATTCCTCATATTTGGCAATAACGGAATTCAATAATTGTTTTATTATCTATTTAAAACGTGAAAAGATATCCGCTCCGGTGGTTTCAATTCGCCAAAATAATGACGAGTTCCTGTCCCAATTGTCAGAAAATCGTTCTTTTTTCCTTTCATATATGTACGTTAAAGATGGTTTAAAACTTGATGTGGTTGTTTTAGTTCATATTTCTTCTATATTTTTAGAGTTGTTTCTTTTAAAACTACAAATACAGCCAACGCCATGTTTTGGTCATGTTTCCACATTTCGTACTCATATTTGCAAGCATAACGGCATAACGTTGAATATCATTTTCTTGTATTAACGTTATGACGCCACTCCGTTGAATAATATGTCAAAACTCCATATTTAATCAGCTATTGAATTGAAATGACGATTTTCCAGTGGGCTGTTTAAGCTTGCCGCACACTAGAGTTGTCAGCTTAGCAAACTTTTACTCGTGACTGTTGGCATATAAGCAAATTCCCTCAGTATGCGGTGGCATTTTGAGCGATTTCAGCCACGCGTGCCATCGGCACCGACAAATGAACATTTCCTCCAAGTGTGCGCACTCGAAAAGCTGTCACCGTAGATGTAGATCCATTAGGCATGCGTAATAAAACATAAGAAAAAAGGAAAATAATTAATGAGGAATGTAATACTTGAGTAGCGACATATGAATATTCCTCATTAATTGTTTTCCTTCTGTCTTATATTTTATTACGCATGCCTATTCTACCTACATTGAAAGGTGATAGCTTTTGGAGCGCGCACACTTGGAGGAAATGTTCATTTGCGACAGAAATTATTCAACATGTTGAATATATTCGGTGCCGATGGCGCGCGTGGCTGGAATCGCTCAAAACGCCACCGCACACTGGGGGAACTAACCTACGCCAACAGTTACGAGTAACATTTTGCTAAGCTAATAGATTGCTTTAGTGTGCGGGGGGGGGGGCTCAGATATTCAAATTTAATGATGCAGCAAGTACATAGCTTTAATCCTTTCATATTTTATTAACCAAGCGCTTACAGATCATGCACCGCAGGTGGCAACACTAAAACATTCCTACTTGTCCAAATAAGGAAAAAATGTACAAATGTCTGAAACTGCATGTTTATGAACTAGAAAATTAAAAGATTAGTTTGGAATGAGTACGTCATTCAAAAATCAATTTCGCAAATTCAATAGGCCTTCTCTTTACCTGCCTTACACCAATATATTTTTCTGTTTGGAGTACTCTAGCCCTGATCATGTATGTACTTTTAACACGAATACATTCGTTTCAAAAAGCTGCCTTCTGAAACTTTTGGCAATATTTAATGTAAAACAAGAAGCTTTGATGAGTCAAGGCATTCTTGTGTTTAGGCGCAAAAAAATAATCAGAGATAGGTGCCAAAGTACCAGATGCTCGCCTGCATGTAATTCGCGACTTCAACCCTCAAAATGTGTGTAGCTGTCTCGTGATTAAATTTGTAAACAAATCGCGAAATGCGGGCATTCCAATTTGCCTGTGCATGAACTGTGCGTAAATATGGCTGACAAAAGGAGCAAAACATTTAGTTCTTTGAAGGTCACAAGTTTGAAAAATTATCTACAAGAGCGTGGAATTACAGTAAATGGATACCTAAAACCTGCTTTACAAAACAAAAGAACAAAGAACAAAAAATGATGTTGCCTATTGACCCTTATTTTCAGCGTGTCAATATTTAATGACAAGAATATTCGAAATCGTTTAATAATTCATTATATTACCCGAGTATGTTTTTCAGGGCCTATTTCATGAAGGTAATGTGCAATTGCTTATTTGCTTTTCAGCTTTATCATGTTTTGTTTTGAATCCTATTTTTTGACTGTGGAACTATCAATGGTTTAGTTTCAGTGATTTAATAGACTTTATAAACTTTACCTGTGTATGGCTGTGTCTCAATATGAAGAATAATTTCAAAAACATTACCTTGTACAGGGACGCCGGAAAGGAGGGGCGCAGGGAGGCATCGCCATCCTTGCCCTTTAGAAGGGGGGCAGGGGGGGGGGCGAAATTGCCCTTAGAGTAAAAATTTTAACCCAAAAGATATGGGTACAACAATTAAAAAGTATGAATTACGCGTGAAATGGACGTAATATTGAAATATAATAATAATAATAATAATATTTATATTGCGCAAATTAACATGTTATAGTATATGATCAAATGCGCAAAATATACGTGAAATGTTCTGGAATATTAGTAAAAAATTAGGTTAACTTTCAAATTTTTTTGCCCTTGTTTTGGTGAATTAAGGTTCCGGAAACTTTTTGCTCTTTTTTGGTGAATTAAGGTTCCGGAAAAATTTTGCGGAAACGAAATATTAATTAATGATTGCCCTTACGTCAACATTGCCCCCTTGTGCCCTACCCTCGCTCCGGCGTCCCTGACCTTGTACAAAATGTGAAATTAAAACCGTGAGTGGAATATAGGCTCAATTTGTACACCTTGGGTTATGTGTGTCATACTTTAAATGGTTTTTCAAATATCTTAAATTATATATAGTTAAATGAACTTTCTGGATTTTGCAGGAAATAGATCTGTATGAAAATTCCCTGCTCTTTTACACACAGAAGAAACATTCTTGGTTCACCAGAGAGGAAGTCCATAACAAAAGAGTTGATGCTCAGAGATATTGGGAGACATTGCATGCCCTTCATGTTATGAGTAACATGAATTACAATTCCATTCGATCTTATCTTTGCATGCAATGTCTTCTAATATCTCTCAACATCAACTCTTTTGTTATGGGCTTCCTCTCTGGTAAACCAAGAATTTTCTTCTGTGTGTAAAGGGCAGAGTAATTTTGAAACAGATCTATTTCCTGTAAAATCCAGAACGTTCATTTTAACTATATATAATTTAAGATTTTTGAAACAGCATGACACACCTAACCAAAGGTGTAGAAATTCAGCCTATTTCACTCACTGTTTTAATTTCACGCTTTCTACAAGGTAATGGTTTTGAAATTATTGTTCATATTTAGACACAGCCATACACAGGTAAAGTTTATAAAATCAAAGAAACTATATAGTTCAAAACAAAACGTGATAAAGCTGTAAAAAAAATAAGCAATTGTACTTTTCCTTTATGAAATATACTCCACAAACATACTCAGGTAATATCATGAAATATTAAACGATTTTGAATATTCTTGTCATTATTATCACCAAGTTTATTGCTTGGTTGTAAATTTACAATGTCCGCACAAACTCTAAGAACTGATGTGATATAAGCTTTAAGTGTCAGTGGAATAACACCACGTAAAATACTAAAACATTTAAGTTTCTTTATCATCCGTTCAACATAAACTCATGTAGTTGCTACTCGTCTTGTTGCTGTAGTTGCTCGAAAGGAAACATTGTTCTTCATCATTATGGGTGGAGCTATCAAACTAGCAGCACGAAGAAATAATAAGTCTTGGATATTAAAACCCTTGTCCGCCATTATGCAATCATCTGGTTCTATCTGATATAAAAAATCACTCTTTCGTACAATTTCTTTATTGCTTATGGAACCACTGAAAAATTTGGATACAAATTAAAGTTACATATTGGAGACAAAGAAACCGATAATTTAACAGTGTTATATGATTTATATTGACTGTATGTAGGTGAATCGTTGGCTTGATGGCAGGGAGGGTTTTTCAATATAGAATTTCGTGCAATCATGCAATAATTCCTCTTAAGTGGTAATATTTCATATTTTAGTACACTTTGGGGCGACGCAATCCTTTCATGTAGGCCAATGTTGAAAAATTCAGTAGAAATTCCATCTCTCTCTCTAAGAATAGCACCCAAGTAATAAAAATCTTGCTACCATTTCTAGTAGATATATCAAAAGTGGTGCACAGTATAATAATGTTGCATGGGTCTTCTCTTTAAGTTGCACAAGGGTAAAAACAAGCTGTTCTTTTTGTGCTGAGTTTAGTGCAACTTTGCTATAAAATAATGATGATAATTTTTATGCGCGTATACTAAATGCATTGGTGACAAACACAACTTTTAACTAAATTGTATAGTGCTTCAAGACATTTCTTTGTTAAGACTTTAAAAATTAAAATATTAACCCATTAAGCACCAGCGCTCTCCCCTTAACGAGTAAAATTATCTGGCATTAGAGTGAAATGTCTGGCGTTAGACAGAGTAAAATCGTCTGGCGCTAAACATGCAGAGTAAATTAATAAAGCAGAGCGCATCAGGGCGCCATATGCAACTCATTGGGTTAAATATGATAAAATATATAAGTTTCAAGAAGTTAGAATAAAAGCGCGAGATGAAAGTGAGATGTAAAAAAGCTCAAATATCACCGCGTATAATTAACGTTTTAACTTGTTTTCGAACGCGTTCGGAAATAATAGCGAAAACAATTTAAAAACTGACTACAATTCCAAAGTCAACGTTTTTTGTTCATTATATGAATGACTTCTTCCACACAGAAAGTATGGAAGAATTCCGCTGTAATCTTACGAAATTCGAGTGGTCGGTTTTTACACGGACTGCCTCTTAATTCTGATCGTCGGTTTAGAAGAGTTCGTTGTGAGCGTTTAGAATTGCCATTTTTTCTGCAGTTTACAACAAGAGTTTGTAAAATGTGCCTGGCAGAAAAAATGGCAATTCTAAACGCTCACAAGGGAACTCTTCTAAACAGACGATCAGAATTAATATCAAAATGTCGGCACGAAAACAAGTTTTATGCTAGTAACGTAACGTCAATAATAGGATTTAATTGTAATTATATATGTAAAGACTTATG